CCCTCCACAGGAAGATTAGAGCCCAGATGTCAGTTAAGGAAATGTCCGGCATTTATCTCTTTAGTATGATAAAGAGACCCTTGTAATTACTTTGCAATGTATAACAACACGTCTAACCTTTGTAAAAATCATATATGAGCTCTGATGTAAAAATGCCTTTGGGGACTCCATAGAGACAGGCTGCATTGCTGTTGGATCTCCGGTGGTGTACACTTCCTGAATTAAAACTTTCTCCACTCTTTCTGACTTGGAGTATGTTTCATTGGCTCGACTGCTCCAGGGCACGGACCCTATTCAGGTAACACCACTAAATTAAACTGATTGCTTGAACTGGGGACTGTGCCCTCAACTAACAAACTGCATCTCAGGACCATCCTGGGAGAAGTGAGATAGGGGAAGAAATGGGGGGTGGGAAGTTTGTCCATTGGCTCCTATCCCCCATTGATCAAAATTCCACTCCATGGGGCATTATCCTTAATACTTTCAGGTTGCACGTGAGTTTATATCCTGAAAAACAGACAATAAAAACAAAAAACAAAAAAATTTTACTATCATTTTAAATAGCCCTGGTGGCCCAATGGTTAATTAGCACTGGGCTGGCTGCTAATCAAAAGGTTGGTAGTTCGAACCCACGCAGTGGCTTCAGGGGAGAAAGTTCTGCTTCCATGAAGATTACAGCCTAGGAAACCCTATGGGGCAGTTCTATTCTGTTGCATGGGTCACCATCAGTCAAAATCAACTCCTCGGCACCTAACAACAACCACCACCAGCAGCAGTCATTTTTGTGGGGTTTAGGGCTGAACAGTGATAAATGCATGGATCAAATCTACCACGTTTAACAGAAAATCATATTTTCTAATAGGAACCTTGGTGATATCAAGGTATTATCATTCTGGTCACTAGCAGGCAGTGCCTAGGCTCAGGTTTTAATCTAAAGACTGTCAATGTTTTTGTCTTCTCACTCACTTGGCACATAGCTTCCTATAAAGCTATAGCCCCAAGTGGAAAGTTGGCAATAGTTTTGTTCATCTTGCTTGTAGGGATAGGGATGTCCCTGTTTTCAAGCTGAAAACCTTTCCCAGGTCCTCTACCTCCTGAGGGGGACTTAGGTCTCCATTATCTCACAGGAGTCAAATTTCTTGCTTCTAGACTCATTTCAAAGCATTAGTATATTCACTGGGAGGGGGTTATCTTGTTTTAGAGCCTAGGTCTCTTTACTTTTCTCTTTTCATATTTTATCTGTCATTGCTATAAGTCTGCTCCAGTGTGTGTCAAAGCCTTAACCCATTCCACCATTCTGATCATAATTCGAATAGAAATTCTTGAATTGATGACAGACAGCAGTTGTGACAGAATGTTATTTTAGATCTTTCTTCTTGTCTTTGTTCTTTTTTTTTTTTTTTTTTGCTGTCTTTGGAATTTTCATAAAACCCCAAAGGCAGAAAGTAAAATAACAGATGCCAGATGCCTCCCTCCCCACATCTTAAAGAGAGATGGTAAGAGATTGTGAACCTAGTCAGCCTACATTACTGATCATCCACATTCACTCTATATGAGAGAATGAATGCTGTGTCAGAGAGTTACCCGTAGGCTTTGTGTTTCTTTGCCCAGCACTGTGGATGGAGAGGGATCTTTCCCTTTGTCTAAAGCCAAATAAAGAAGAGACCTTCATTAGAACTATTCTGAATGACTGGCCTGTGTCTCCTAGGATTTAGAGGCCCTCAGGGGCCTTAACTCTCACCTGGGGAAGTCCCAAAGCAAGCTCTGGCTGACTAGCTGTACTGGGAAGGCAGAGTAAGGTGGTAGTATGGAGAGAGAGCCCCACTGCCCTTGCCAGCAAGGCAAAGATGAATGAGTTGTCCTGTGGGCCAAGTGTACCTGGAAGGAAACCAGCCTGGGGTCCTTTAAAAGGGATCCTTTCCATGAGGGATGTCCAGAGGGAAAGGGACTCCAGAAGAGTTAGCTTGGCTCCAGAAGGCCAAGGGCTGGGCAGTCAACTAAAGGAGGCACATTGCCCAAGTCCCAGCAAAAGAGTCCTAAAAAAGCTCACAAAGATTTCATAAGTGAGAAAGAGCCAACATTTGTGTGTCCTAGTTAAGAGCCATCACTTTCTCAGATTTCTTTTCTTTCTTTCACTTCCATTATCAACCCTGGTTATTTAGTTTCCTTTAAGGACCACTTTTTTCACACACACAAAAAATAATTTAAAAAATTTCTTTATGTATGTTACACAACCAAAAGAAAACAACAGAACTGAGTTGAGATACGGATAGTACACATTTGGCCAGGTTCATTCATTAGCTAGGCAACTCATTCTAAGACAGAGGTTCCCAGGCTTCAGAAAATTCCACTGCCTCAAGCAGTTTACTTGGTACCCCCATAGCTTTACATTAAAATCCTGGTTTCTCTCTCCTTAACTGCTGCCCAAAACTAGAGGAAATTGGCAGAAATCGGTTTAGGCACCATGTTGACACGTAGGATAACCTTATAGCTCATTAAATACCTCATACATAGTAACTTCTCTGCCCCTAGGTGGAGTTTAACTGCCATTTTCTGAACATGTGATGCACATAGTTATATGTAAACCCCATTGCGCCTTCATAGTATGATTAAGAATGTTGCTGATATAACTTGTATGAACTTCTTACTTGTAAATCCCTTAAAAGTAACCATACCCCTTGCCCTTGCTGAGCAGTCTTGGCGGCAGCAGCCCTGACTGTTCCTTTCCTTGAATGAAATAAAGGCCCTTTTCCAGTCTCCCACCTCGGTCTCTCATTTATTGGCTGAGATGAGTCACACCAAGCAGAACCTGGGGTTTCTACCTGGCAACAATTCCTTCACTATGGCTTCCCAGCATATGTAATCCGAATTCAAGTTTCAAATAAACTTAGCTATCCATCTGTAAAAAATAATTTACTTTTTATTTTTTATTGTTGTAGTTTAAGTGAAAGTTTACAATTCAAGTTAGTCTTTCATATATTTGTACATAGTTATGTGACCCTAATTGCTCTCCCTATACTGTGACAGCACACTCTTCCTTTCCACCCGATTTCCCGTGTCCATTCAACCAGCTCCTAACCCTCTCTGCCTTCTCATCTCACCTCCAGGCAGAAGCTGCCCATTTAGTCTCATGTATTTACTTGAGCTAAGAAGAACACTCTTCACCAGTATCATTTTATGTCCCACAGTCCAGTCCAATCTTTGTCTCAAGAGTTGGCCTCGGGAATTGTTTTAGTTCTGGGTTGACAGAGAGTCCAGGGGCCATGCTTTTGTAAAAAATAATTTTAGATTTTAATTTATGGATTATGTAAGGATTCGTACATAAAATTCCAGATGAACTAAATATGGGAAACAAAATTATTAAAGTATTAAACAAATATAGAATAAGTCAATAATGTTGGCATGGCTAAGGCCTCCTTAAGCAAACCACAAAACTCAAAAATCATGGCTCAGACATTCAAATACCTATAGGGACCAAGCAAGTAATGTCAAGCAGTGAAGCAAACTGGTGTAAGAAAAATCAACTAATAAAGATTTTCAACTTTATTTTTACTGAGCTATTATGTTATCATATGCCATAATACAAACGTGAAAATGGATATATTTTATATAGAATCATGTAAATTAGAACATGGAGATATTTTATTAGACTTTTCTTTGTTTTGCTTTTGCTTTGGAATTAGACACCTAATTTTTCTACCAATTTCAGGTTTTGTATTTCTAGTTGATAGGTGAAAAATGTTAAGTCATTGATTTTGAAGAGTTTGACTGGTTAGGGTCAAGGTTTTTTTCTAATGTTCGACCACTGTGTTCCTCTTTTGTGTGCTGTCTTTTCTTGGCTTTTGTTCTTACGATGCAGGGCCTTGAGGCTGGGGACTACCCCTACAGCTTGGCTTCTATGAAAATTCTAGTCATAGATTTGGGGTCTGGATCACTCACAAAATGTTCTCCAGGTCTCCTGTAGGTCATGATGTGGGGCCCCTCGTGGTGTGTGACTCTCACCATGATCACCAGTGCTCTGCTTGAGAGGTACAGAACACGTACCAAAAATTTACTGACGTGTTTTGATTTGAGGGAGTTTGATTCTCGCCCCACCCTTCCCACTTACCCATCCCCAATTTCAACCTCTAGAGAATAGGCGAACTGGAAACTAGGCCAGCGCTGTCGTGCTACTTCTTTGGGGACCAGAACTTGAGTGGGCACTATTGCCGAGGTGCTAACCTCCAAACTAGCTAACATTTTACAAGTTATTTATATTCCCATCATTTATAAACATTTACTGCCAACACACAAGGATCCCTGGAAGCAGTGGTTAAGCGCTGGGCTGCTAACTGAAAGGTTAGTGGTTCAAACCCACCCAGTGGCTCTGGAGGAGTAAGATGTGGCAGTCTATTTCCTTAAAGATTATAGCCTTGGAACCCTATGGGGTAGTTCTACTATGTCCTGCAGGGTCGCTATGAGTCAGAATGGACTTGACAGTAACAGGTTTGGTTTTGGTTGGCACTGTCTCCACACAAGGTCGCTCTGACTCGCAGCCGACTCAACGCACCTAATTGTCTCCACATAAGACAGGGTTGGGGGGGCAGGGAAAGGGAAAAGATGCTCCTACTGCCTCGCAGCGAGCCCGTCCGAGGCCTCAGGAATCCCTGGAAGACATCGCTTTCTCCAGCTAATCCTTTCTTTTTCGCCCGGGGCCACCCGCGCTAGGGCCTCAGGATCACGTGATCGTCCAAGAGGAAACGAGCGGCTCAGCGGCCGCCATCTTGCCAATTTGGGGCGGAGCGTGCAGAACGCAAGTCGCGCGCTTCACTTCCCCGCCCCTTCGCTCAGCCTTGCGGCGGCTCCCGCGCTTCTCCCCCTCTCCTGGCGCTTTGAGTGGACGAGACGGAAGCCCCGCGGGCGGGGGGGTGTGTCGGGCGCGTGCTCGCGCCCTCCAACCGCCAGCCTCGGCTCCGGGGGCGCGCTCGGCCGGGCCCCAGGGGCTGTGCGGGGCCGAGAGGAGGGATTGCTCTTGCTGCGGGGGTGGCGCGCGGCGGCTGCAGCTGCGGCGGCGCGCTCAGGGCCGACGTCCAGGGCGCCGCCGGGTCGAAGCTGCCGCCGTGGCCGCTGCGGCCTGAGCCATGTACCGCAGCGGTGCCCGCTCCTCTGTTTCTTCGCACCGGCCTAAAGACAGCGGCGGGGGCGGCCCGCGCACCGGCCGCAACTCCGGCTCTTCCTCAGGGCCGGCTCGCCGCGCCTCGCCGCCGCCCTCCGGTTCCTCCTCGTCGCGTACCCTGGCCCGCAGGCCCCGCTCGCCCTCAGGGCACCGCAGCCACCGGGCCTCGCCCTCCCCGCCACGGGGTCGCCGCGGCTCCCCGTCGCCACTGCGAGGCCGACGACTCTTCCCGCCGGGCCCACCCGGGTTCAGAGGCAGCAGCCGAGGGGAGTCCCGCGCCGACTTCGCCCGGGACGGCCGCGGAGACCATCTAGGCGACAGCGGCAGCCGGGTAATTGCACCTCTCATGCAGGAACTCCCCCATGTCTCCCTGCCCGGGATTCTCGCTTCCAGAAACGCCCGTAGCTGGGGCGCCCCGAAGCCTCCAGGCCAGGGTGTCAAAATCGAAGGCCCGTCCCCGCCACGGTTTCCCTCAGCGACGCCGGAGGCTCCCTTTCAGCCCCGGGAGCTTCATTTACACAATAACGGACTCGGGCCCAGCACCGGCGCCCCGTCGGGATGGGGTACCCAATTTCCTTGCAGTAGGCAGTTTCTTTCACTGTGAGGTGAAAGGGTGAGGTGTGGAAAAGTTTGCCACAGGCCGGGGGATTTCGTCCAGACCGTGTACCTGGTACTTTTTGGATAGTTGACGTTTCTTCAGAGTTCAGGGGTTTTGAATCAGTGCTCTTAGACCCGAGCAGTCCCTTGCGTCTTACAATAGGAGCTGAAATTTCCGTCTTTGTGGCGAAATAGGAATGCTTGAGTCGTACCAGGGTAGAGACCTGGAGTGGAAAATGTTAGCTACCTAAATTGGAGCTGCTGCTCCGAAATAAAGTGTGCATAACCACAGTCATTGTAATAACTACCATCACTTACTGAGTTGTATGGCAGGAATCATGCTTAGCCTCTCACAGCCCTATGAGGTGAGACAGTTAATATTATTCCTTACTATTTAGCTGAGGAAACCGAGAGAGGTTTAAGTAACTTAACCAAGTTCACAGAGCTCAGAAGTGGTGGAGCTATGATTTAATTCAGAGCTGCCTGGTTCCTAAAGCACAGGATTTTAACTGGTATGTTTTGCTGCTAGAGGAACAGAGGATGAGGTTAAGAAGTTTAGCTTAGACATAACCTTGATCTCTCACAGTAGCCATCACTCTAGTACAGTCTCTGGGCAGGGTCTGGTGTTTTGGAATTTGGTTTTATTTTCAGTTCACCAAACTTTTTAAACGGATGACAAGGTTTCTGTTTTCTTGAGTGGCTCTCTAACGTGTCCAAGTGCTCTAGGTACTCTGGTCATAGGTGATTGACTTATCACTGTGTTAAGATTTTCAAAGCTGAGCAGTGTCATTGAGGGTCAGTCACTGCAGAGGAAGCAGGGAGAACAGTGCTTGTCCCCACAACCTTCCCCTCCATCTCCAATGCACAACTTATTAGCCCCAGTCTTCTCTGTCTCAGTAAATGGTATCACCCATTGCTCAAGTCAGAAACAGTCATCTTTCTCTCCCTTCTTCCCACATCCAATCCAGCAACCTTGTCAGCTCCACTCCAAAATAACATCCTGAAAACTGTCCTGCTTCAACTCTGATTTAAGCCTTATTACTTCTTGCCTGGAGTATTGCATTAGGCTTCTTTACATTTCACTCTTGGCTACCCTCCAGTTTATTCAGTGCTCAGCAATCAAAAAATGATTTTTTAAAACCTTCATTTCATATATTTGACAGTATTTATTGAGCATCTTATACGTACTAGACACTGTTCTGGACACAGGATACAATGGTGAACAAACCAGACAAAAACCTCTGCCTTTGTATAACTTGTATTCTAGCAGGGAGAGCTAATTAATAAGATCGAGAGGTAAAATGCTATGGCTTGTTTACTGTGATTAAGTGCTAAAAAGAAAATACAACAGAGAAGTTAATAATTTTTGATAGGGTGACCAGGGAAGACCTCCTGAGAATAAGGATATGAGAATAAAGACCTGAAGGAGGTGATGATGTGGGCCATGCAGGCATTTAGAGGAAGAATGTAATCAGATCACATCATTCCCCTGCTTAAAACCCTTCTGTAGCTTATTACACTAGAATAAAATACACATTTCTTAACCGTGGCCTCTGCCTATCTTCACCTCTTCTGTCACTTTGCTGCAGCCCCATTGGCTCTGTTACTCAAAACACATAAGCTCGTTACCAAGGTTGCTCTTCTTTTTGCCTGAAACATCCTTCCACCTGTTCTTTGCAAGGCTGACATCTCATCATTCGGGCCTAGGTGAAATGATATAAAAAAAAACAACCAAACCCACTGCTGTGGAGTTGATTCAATTCCGACTCGTAGCAACCCAATAGAATAGAGTAGAACTGTCCCATAGGGTTCCCAAGGCTGTAACCTTTACGGAGCAGACTGCCACATCTTTCTCCTGTGGAGTGGCTGGTGGGTTCGAACTGCCAACCTTTCAGTTAGCAGCTGAGCTCTTAACCTCTAGGCTTCCAGGGCTCCTCAGAAAAGCCTTCTCTAACCATTCTGTGTAAAGTAGCTCCTCTTTCATGTTATGTTTGTATGACTTTATAGCACTTATCACTATCCAAAGTACTTTTTTTTAAACCTCTTTTTGGCTTGTGTGCTTCACTGGAATATATAGGGTCTGACAGCAAGGACTTATTCATTCCTCTTCTCATGCCCGGTCCCCGTCAGTGAAAGAATGAGAGGTCGCTGATTGGGAGGTAAACAAATTATTTCTTTTATAAGCATCAGCACAAAGCTGGTTCCTATGAGGTGGAGGTTTAAGATGATGTCCCAAATGTCTAACTTTTCCAAGCTGCTGTACCACTCCGTCATCTCTAACATCACCTACTTCCTCTCACCTCAGTACTCTCTCTCTCCTGTCTTTGGTTCCCTAATTTGCTGCAACGTCTCACAGAACTCATGAACTATATAAAGGAAATGGCTCACCTGGTTGTGGAGGCTGGGAAATCCCAAATTTGTGGGTCAGGCGTATACTTCTTGCTGGCCCTCAGTCTCTGCCCAGAGGTACTCAGTTTTGTCACTGCGTGGCCAGGGAAACCCACTGCGCCGTCCCCTGCGGGTCTCTGCTGTGGGGTCTCTCCTTCCTTTACAGTGGTGGGCTCTCCTCTCTATTCTCTTTTTTGGTTCTCTTTTTTAAGGCAGAACACACCAGTCCTCTCAGTGGGCCACAATTATTTTATTTGCACTACTCCACCCAGTCACCTGGGTGGGAGTCACAAGACCATGGCTAGAAAGGTCACACGCAAAAGTAATTAATCGCACTGCAGAAGAGTTGGAGATATGGGCTTTTATCTCTGAGAAAATGATACTTTTTAAAAAGGTCTTTTTGTTTTGGAATAGTGTCTCACCATAGAGGACCACTGGTTAAAGTGGTTCAAACCCACCAACTGCTCCGAGGGAGAAAAATGTGGCAGTCCATTTCCATAAAGATTAATAGCCTTGGAAACCCTAAAGGGCAGTTCTGCTCTATCCTGTAGGGTTCTATGAGTCAGAATCGATGGCAGTGGGTTTGGTGGGATCGTACCATAATCATTTCTTACCTTTTTGGACCACACTTTCTGACTAGGGAGAAGAACATTTTTGGGCTTAGGAGTGTCTTGACCCTACTTGACTACCATTTTACGTTTTACTTTTGTAGAGACGCTCTCCTGGTCTGCGTTCTGATTCTTCCTTGGAACAGAGTTTAAGGATCACTGTTGGCAATGACCACTTCTGTGTTGGCACACCAGAACGGCGGCGGCTTAGTGATCGGCTGGGGTCACCAGTGGATAATCTGGAGGATGTGGACAGGTAGGCTTTGCCCAAGGTAGGGCGCACTACAGTAGTCCTCGAAGGCAGGAATGTTGTTGTTTTCTGAGTGTTGTGTTTGAAAAGTTAGTGCCAGCACTGAAGTTATGCCCTACGGTCATGTGTCCAGTACAAAGTATGACAATGGAAGAGATTTTCTAAGGAGGAAGAATATATTGATGTGGACTCTGTTGCTGAATGAATTATGTAGCATCCTGACCCAACTGGAAGGAAGAAGACTGAGGGGACATAGTCAGAGTCCCCTAAATCAAAGAGTTGAGATGATAGGAGTTCTAAAATACTGGAACTAGGGGTATCTTCTGAAAAGGAGAAGTTCTGAACAGAATAGGAAATCATTTTTTAATGGTGTTGTTTTTCAGTGTGTCTAGACTGAAATATAGATTCAGAAAGCGTTTTAATAAATGTAGTTTAATATATGTGTATTAAATAATGCATTAATAGAAACTTAGAAATCTTCAAAGGTGTATAAGTTCAGTTACTACTTTACTACTGTTGAGTGTTGAGGAGGAGCAAATGCACTCCACACAATGTTAAATGTAGGCCTCAGGTACTAGGAACTTAATTATATATGAGAAATAAATAACAACATTAGGTGTTTTTTGTTTCACAGTAGTCAAAATGTGAGGATGGGAGTGGAGGAAAGCACTCTTTCTGAAAGCTAAGAGCATGTCTCTTGTCATTTCTGCCCAGCACATTGGGAATTAGCCAAATGATTAGCAACAGCAGTAAATCTATGTAATGTCCTTTCAAACAGACTGTTCATGCAGTAGTGTACAGAGCATAGGCAGGCAGGTGGGGGACAGCTGGGCAGGAAGCCTGAGGACCAGTACTGCACTTGGGTAATGCTTACTTCAAAGCTCCAGTGGCTGTGGATACAGTAAAGCAGGGTGAGACAGTCCTATGTCATATAATACGAAGCTTCTGAAAATAGGGCTTCAAGGTATGTGACTATATCACTTATTTGAGACAACAAGCCCTTGCTCTTCCGGCTGCTTCTATTTTGGGAGATGACTGAGTAGGCAGCCTGGGTAGGTGGTACATGGTGTGATTCTCTTCCTTCCTTGATGAGGTTTTGAGGTAACTTCAGCATTTCCTCTTGGTAGGCCTAGGGTGTTACCTCTCCTTTGTATAAGCTTTGCTGTGCATGTATGTTTCAGACAACCAATTGTCTGTTTTTAAGTTACGGAAATTAAAAACTCTTAGGGAGTTTGGAGCAGTAATCTTTCTTAGAGTTATATGTTAGAGAAGGTGAGGTTAAGGTTCTGAAAGGAAGTACAAGGCCATTCTTTATACATTTTGCTCCCTGCACATTTGTGTTCCTTTCTTCTTGCTTAGTATGGTTTGTGTGGATAATTACTGCTACTAAAACCAGGCCATAGGACTCTTGGCATACTCGGATATCTCTTGACAGTGAGTTCAGTCTCAGCCAATGGAACAAGCAGTTTCTAGCCTTTGTATAGATACTTTTTTCCCCCTGAGGCCCTGATATTTTTTCCCCTTCTTTTATTGAATTTGTTAAATTTTATATCAGATTCGAGTTATAGTCAAGTTGCCAGAGTTGTCTCTGTCCTCAACTTAGCAGGACTGTAACTTATTCTGAAAAGGGAACATGAACATGTTGTGTGAAAAAGTCTAAGACACTTCCAAAAGCTTGTGGATGTGTGGTTGATTTCCTCTGGTTATCAAAGAACTCTATACATCATACGTTCCATTCATGGAATTCTTATCTCCTAACTCCTCCTCCTTGCCCCTGACATAGATTGAAGTCAGGTTTGTTTGTTTTTGCCTGTGATTTGTCTTAGGGAAAAGACAGAAGGAAACAGCTTTCTTGGGGCTCTTTGGAGAGTCAGCAAAGGGAAGAATGAGGAGTGTGGATTCAGAAGGATCTTTTTTCTTTCTCTATCATATACATTTTTAAACAGCTTTATTGAGATGTAATTCACACACCATACAACTCACTCATTAAGGTGTACAATTCAGTGACTTAGTATATTCACAAAGTTATGAATCCACTACTACAACCAATTTTAAAACATTTTCGTTACCCTAAAAAGAAACCCCACATCCCTTAACCACCACCACCCCCATGCTGTCATCCCTAGGCAGCCACCTATCTACTTTCTTTTTTTGATTTGCCTATTCTGAATATTTCGAATTGACTCGATGGCAGCGGGTTTGGGGTTTTTTTTTGGTATTCTGAATATTTTATATAAATGGAATCATAACAATATATGATCCTTTATTACTAGCTTCTTTCACTTAGCATAGTGTTTTCAAGGTTCGTCCATGTTATAGCATGTATCATCATTCCCTCATTTCTTTTTATTGCTGATAGTATTTCATTGTCTGGATATACTGTGTTTTGTTTATCCATTCCTCAGTGATAGGCATTTGAGTTGTTTCTGCTTTTTGGCTATTTTAAATAATGCTGCTGTGAACATTCATGTACAAGCTTTTATGTGGACATAAGTTCTATACGTTTTTAAACTTGTTTTAATGGAAATTTTTAAACACAGCGCTCATATACCTATTACCCACATTAATAATTTTTAGAAAGATAGACCTTATTTTAGAGAAGAGTTGGACTTAACCAAGCCTTTCAGAGAGGTTTCTTCACTGGACTATTTCTGGCTACAGGAGATGGGGGCTCTTTTTAGGGCTCACTCTTACTGCAGTTTGTTCTGTGTCTTAGCCTTTGGGAGTATTGGGGAAGGAAGACCTGAGCTTCTAATTGCAACTTGATTTCTGCCCTTATTTACATGACAACTCATTCTTTTAACTCTTTCTTAACCTTCTTTCACTTTTTTTGTTTTATTTTTTGCCTCTTTTTGCTGGAGATTGCAAGTATGGAACTGAGACTTTTTGAGAGCCATCTCATTTCTAGCTTCTTGATACTTAGTGCTAGACTAGAGCCTGGGCTACTATGTCATTTAATGGTGACATAATACTTGTAGCCAGGAGCTGGACATGGGAGCATGGATGAACTTGCCATGACCCACAGAGCCTGTGTTTTCCCCCATACTAATATGATCAGAGACTTTCTGTATAGTGGGTGGTGTTTCAGCAACAGAGTGACTCGACTCACGGACCTTCCTCCCTGGAAAGATGTATGGAGAGTTAGTCATGGCAAACAGACTTACAGAACCAAACTTTCTATTGCAGTTACTTTTTTTTTTAATTGTGGTACAATATGTATGACATAAATTTTGCCGTTTTAGTCCTTTTAAGTGTACAATCCGGTAACATTAATTATATTCACAATGTTGTGCAACCATCACCACTATTATTTTGAAAACTTTTTCATCACCCCAAGTAGCAGCTCGGTACCCATTAAGCAGTAACTCCCACTTTCTCCCTCCCCCAGCCCCTGTAACCATTAATCTACTTTTGTCTCTATGCATTCTGCAGTTACATTTGATTTCTGATTCTATTTCATACTACAGTGAGACCTCAAAATTCCCCGGATTTTTGGGGAGGAGGTGGATTACAGGGACCTGGATTCCCAGAGGTGGCACTCTTGCAGAGGACGTGATAAAGTTTATCTTTGGTAGCTTTTCTTAAAGTTGTTTATAGCCGTTGGCCAAGTCTAAAACAGGGCTGGTGAGTAAGAAAAGACAACTATTTGATGTTTTGCTAACTCTGCACCCCAGAGATAGGAAAGCAGCTATACAGAAACAAAAAAAGTCATTTTTAGAAACTCAAAAAAACAAAAGTTAGGTACTAGAAAAAGACACTAGTAGTTACTGTTCTCTGGATGGTAATTAGGAGCCCTAACAGTGGTTAAAGTGCTCGGCTGCTAACCAAAAGATTTGTGGTTCGAACCTACCGGCCGCTCCTCGGGAGGAAGATGTGGTTGTCTGCTTCCGTAAGGATTTGCAGCTGTGGAAACCCTATGGGGTAGTTCTACTCTGTTCTGTAGGGTCACTATGAGTTGGAATGGACTCAACAGCAGTAGGTTTGTTCTTTTTGGTTTGGATGGTAATTGTCACTCTGGATTGTGAGTGACATGTAAGCACTTCAATTTTTTATTCAAATTACTTAAAACATATATGCTTAAAGTGCTAGAGGATCTTAATTTCTGTTTATAATTTAAATCAGAAACTTTCTTTTTGGGCCATAGGAACTATGGGTATAGTGCACAAAAGGATTAGGATTACTGTATATGACTTAGAGTTCTGAGCTGAAGGGACAGATGCCTGCCCCATCCTGTATTTCTGTCTCCATGCCACAAAGATCTAAGACCTTTTTATGTCTATGAAATAAAAATATATAGTGAGCCAAAGCATCACCTATTCTTTTCTGGGTTTAAGATTAGTGGAGTATGGATGTCTAGGCAAGGCAGGAAAGAGGGTGACAAAATAGGCTGAGGGAGTTTTGTGGCTTTTAATATATGAGCCAGCAAGACAAAGCATTGGAGAATCTTCTAAAACTTCTGAGAACCATGCGAATCAGATAGATCAGTAGTTTAAAAAAAATTTTCCCCACAGTGAAACCCTTTTTCCAAATGAAATACTGTTTAGAACTTTAATATTTAAGCGGAATAATTTGGGACTAGTATGATTTAAATGGAGTGGAAGGCCCAGAGCCCTGCCTGGTCTGCTTTCTTAGTACCGCCTTCCTTGAGACAGCTTCTGAGAATCTCTGTGGAAATGAGCTTGAAAACCATTGACCTAAACTAGTGTTTCTCGAACTTTAAAGTGCATATGAACTACCTGGAGATCTTGCCATAATGCGGATTCTGATTCAGTAGGTCTGGAGTGAATCTGCATTTCTAAAAAGTTCCAGGTAATAGTGATTTTGCTGGACTGGACCACACTTCGAGTAGCAAGGAGCTAGAATTTAGCTAGTGTGGAGTTGTGTAACCTGGGGCTCTTTGTAGTCTGTTAGTGGTGTTTTCACATCTCCCAAACCATAGCATGATACTTTGCATCCCCAAAGTCCAGTCGGAGAAATTTATCCTAAGAGTTCTGTCTAGATATATTGGTGATATTTCCCCTTGGTTAGAAACTGAAGCTGCTTATGCCCCCGGGGAAAGGAAGATGAAATGTCCCATGGATATACATAGGTTTGTTCTTGGTCTTCATGATTATTGTCTTTCGCCCTAAGTATTCTATACCCCTTTTACCAAATGTCAGTTTCTTAACCTTGTCTGGTCTTGCTCTTTCCAAGTCCATTGTATTCAGTGATGCTTGTCTCTTTTCTCAGGGATGACCTAACTGATGACTCTGTCTTCACTCGAAGCTCCCAGTGTTCTCGAGGTCTTGAGCGATATATTTCCCGGGAGGAGGGGCCTCTTAGTCCCTTCTTGGGACAACTTGATGAGGACTACAGAACAAGAGAAACTTTCCTGCATCGATCTGATTATAATCCCCATAGCAGTTGTCATGACGAGCTATTGTGCAGCACAGAACGGACTAGAGACAAACTCAAAGGCTCCTACTCTATGCGATCCGAGGAGAGGAACCGGGAGGCCAAACGGCCCCGTTATGACGACACAGAGAAGATACACGGCATAGGAGGGACTGACCTGAATTTTACAGCAGGGAGCCGCAACTATCGACAGCGTAGACAAAGCCCAAGCCCTAGGTTTCTAGACCCTGAGTTTCGAGAGCTGGACCTTGCTAGGCGAAAGCGAGAGGAAGAGGAAGAACGAAGTAGGAGCTTGAGTCAGGAGCTGGTGGGAGTTGATGGTGGTGGCACTAGCTGTCCTATCCCTGGATTGTCAGGTGTCCTACCAGCATCGGAGCCAGGATATTCTTTACATCGGCCTGAGGAGGTATCTGTGATGCCCAAGAAGTCCATTCTGAAGAAGCGGATTGAGGTGGAAATGGACCCTTCCATGCAGGTCTCTGCAGCATTTCTTCTTGGGTATCTTGGTAGTCCCACTAATACCTTAAAGCCTGGTTTCTTTTCTGGCGCCTGTGACCCAAATGGTATCTTAGTAATGTATGGTGGACCAACATTGTTGTGCCTATGAGCTGCACCTTCTAGGACTCCCCAAAGGAAGCTATAGACCTCATCAGTAGAGGGCTTCTATTGCCATAAATAGGCCTTCTAAAAAGACATTTTGAATAGTGGCTACTGCTGTAAGTTTTTCCCTAAACTGGGTAGCCGCCTAGGGATCTTTGAATATGCATGTCCTGGAAATGAAGCTTAAGGGGCAAAAGGAAGAGGTAATCTGAATTTCCTCATCTCTCTTTGTGTGTGATTTTTTTTTTTTTAGACAAGTCACCTTACCATTCTGGGCTTTGATATTTTTTCCTCACCCAAGAAAAGATGGTCAGGCAAGAGGACTTGTTTTCATCTGTGCTCTTAGGAGCCAAAAGGCTCCTTAAAGAAATGTTTATAAACAGAGAAGCAAGGGGGAGGCTGAACAGTTAGAGTTCAAGAGTTTCCTGTCCCCATTTTAAGCAAGGCAACTCAACTTTTATATGTTTTCTTTTCTGGAGAGCCACAGAAAAAATCAATAAGCTAGAGGATCCCTAAAGTCCTTTTCAATTCATATTCCTTGATAAGGACTATAACACATGGGTGAAGGTAAAGGTTTAGTATAGTCTGCCTCATTTCCCATTTCCCCTTGCTACAGCAGAGACAGCTGGAGAGATGGGGACCCATATCTTGAGCCTGGGTAAGGACACTCTCCCTCCCTTTCACCCATACTTATCTCTCCCCTATTAATTCAAAAAGTGAAGAAGTATTTATCTCAATTACTAGCTTTCTGAGATTCTGCATAGGGACTAAATAAGTTGTGTTTGTCTTTGCAGCTTGAGAGATTTTCCAGCAGTACCAGCTCCAGCCAGGATCACACACTCTACTCTGGACACCAGCCTCTTCCACTAAGTGGTGCTATAGCTGCTTTTGCTTCAGAAATTGACAACAACAAGGAGACTATGGTGAAGACTGCCTTGAAGGAACCTCAGGACAACCTCTACCAGTGGGGTCCCCTCCCTGGGATATCCAAAGACAACAGTCCTCTCAGAGAAAAGTTTGGAAGTTTTCTGTACCACAAGGAGAAATTGGATATGAAGACTGAGGGACCTGAACGGCACACAGACTTCTTGCTGCCCCATAAGAGGGCTAGCCAGGATGGCAGTGGTTTTTCCCGCATTCTGAGAATGTTGGCAGATTCTACCAGTACACAGGAAAAGAGGCGACGTAGCTTCCCTGACATTGAGGATGAGGAGAAATATCTCTATGGGGATGAAGAAGAGGACTTAAAGGCAGAATCCCCACCAAAGCCCCTTGCGGGCTCTGAGAGTGAAGTTATGAGGCAGAAGGCAAGCTCCCTTCCCTCTTCAGTTCTGTCTGTAAAGCGAGAATCACTAGAAGAGACCAATCCAGAATATGCCAAGATTCATGACTTGCTCAAGACCATAGGACTGGATATTGGAGTAGCAGAGATTAGTAATCTGGCTGCGCGCACCCAGGAACGACTTCATGGCAAGAAGCCATCATCACGTTCCTCAGACGACCGCCGTTCCTCAGTTGACCGACACTTTTCATCTGATTGTCGTTTCTCAGTTGACCGCCATTTCTCAGCTGATCGGCACTCCTCAGATCCCCACAGACTGGAGAGCAGAGAGGCACACCATAGCAGTACCCACTCTTCAGAGGTGTCCCATCCATACCCAGCCTCCCTCATGGATCCTTACCTGCTCACAAAAAGCAACCCCCCTTTCCTAAAGTCTGACCATCCAATGGGTCAGGTTTCAGGACCAGAGATGGTTGGCAGTGGATTTCAGTCATCTGTTGCAGTCAGATGCATGTTGCAGTCAGCCCCGTCTGCTCCAATTAGACTTCCACACCCTGCTTCTTTATCTCAGTATCACATGCCAAGGGCTCCTCAGTTTGCTGCAGCGCGAGTACCTCCAAACTACCAGGGACCTGCCATTCCCCCTGCCTCCTTTGATGCCTATAGGCACTACATGGCATATGCAGCCTCAAGGTGGCCCATGTACCCCACCTCTCAACCATCAAACCACCCTCTGCCTGAACAACACAGGGTGATGTCAACTACCAAACAAGCTACTCGTAGCCGTCCTAATCTTCGTGTGATTCCCACTGTGACTGCTGATGATCCCAAGCAGGAGGAGCCAGTGCTAAGCTCAATTCCTTCTGTTCAAGTCCCTGTCCAGGTGTCCATCCCGTCACTTATAAGATACAATCCTGAGAAGATCTCTGATGAGAAGAATCGTGCTTCCCAGAAGCAGAAGGTAAATGTTAGCCTTGGGCATCCTGTGCCTGTGCCTTTTGTTTTAACAGAAGTTTGTTTTTGTCTTTGAGAGAGGGCTGAAAATTTGTAAGGCCTTTTCACTTTAAGTCCTTTAGAGGCTGCTGTCATTGCCCTAAGTAGATGTATATAACCCCTCTGTTTTTTTTCCACATAATTTCACAAAAACCACCAAAAAATGGTCCTAGGTCCCACGGTGATAGCAAAGCTTTTTTTAAAACAGGTCCTTTCTCTAACCATATTGATGATCTTATAACATTGTGGGTAGGAGCTGGGAGCCTTAAAGTCTTCAGTATGATCTTAGGGGGTGGAGAACCAAAATTGGGTTGGGTGAAGGAGGATCAGTAAACTTACATTTCATTCCAATGAGTTTTGGATTCTTCCCCTGTAGTGATTATAGAGATTAAAAGCTAGTAACTATTTGTTGCTTGGTAATTAAAACAAACCGAGAAATAAGCTTTACTTGTTCTGGTTTATCAGCATCTATGAACAATAATATTTTTATGATATGTTTTTTAAAAAAGCAATTTTTATGCCATCAAGTTTCATTGGATTTCCACACTTTGGTAAAGGAGCAGAAGCAGAAGAGATGCAATAATTCTAGGTGTTTCAGAGCAGTAGATAAAAATTATGTAGGGATGAGGAATACATAATAGATTAATTTGGAGTGGAAAAATTAATATATATTCTTAATTCTAAAGGTCCTTAATAACTAATAGCTTATTGTGCCTAGGAACATAAAAATGTAATGTGTATACATTTGTTTTGCTTATAAAATAAGACCTAAGGAGAAAGAAAAAGAAAAATTGGAAGGCCAATCTTATTTTTTTCCAGTTTTAAAAAAAATGTAACTAGTCTTTGGGAAGAAAAAAAAGAACTTCCTCTTAATTTTCCATTGTCCTGGGATACCCTGAACTTCAGTTTTTAGTTATGTTGAAGTCTTTGGGAAGGAGGAGGATAGGTTCAATAAAAAGAAAGCTTAAGACTTCAGAGATACTGTTTGAAGACTGAGCTCTTAGCCTTGACTGTCCCTCTTATAAGCCTAGCATTTAAGTCAGGGCTGATATACACAGGTATTTCACACTAGCCTGTTAATAGACAAACCATATTTTTTTCCCTCAAGTATTAGTAGTATAGTTGAAAGATCATGAACTTTAGGGCAGGTATCCCTAGATTTTAAATCTACTCTTACTGTGTGACCTTGGGTAAGTTACTTAATGTTTTACAACCTCAGTTTTCTTACTGTAAAATAGAGGTAATGTCATGAAGATTAAATAAGATGATATAACTAACACAGCTAACGCAGTGTCGTGGATTGAATTGTGTCCCCTCAAAATATGTGTCAGCTTGGTTAGGCCATGATTCCCAGTATTGTGTGGTTGTCCTCCGTTTTGTTATTGCAATTTTATGTTAAAGAGGATTAGAGTGGGGTTGTAATACCCTTACTAAGGTCACGTCCCTGATCCAATGTAAAGGGACTTTCCCTGGAGTGTGGCTTGCACCACCTTTTATCTTACAAGTGATAAAAGGAAAGGGAAGCCAGCAGAGGTTGGGGACCTCATACCACCAAGAAAACAGTGCCGGGAGCAGAGCGTGTCCTTTGGACCTGGGGGGTTTCTGTGCTGTCGGAACGGCGACGGTAGCCAACTACACAACTCTTAACAGAGAAGTGGGGCCAAGGAGGGTCACTCCGAAGAATCAACCCCGGCTTCAGTCGCAGGAGTTTATTTATAGTCAGTACAGCAAGCAGTGAAGCAAATAACAGAACACTGGGCTTTGGGTGAGTAACAATAAGTTTCGGGCAAGGGAGAATGAACTTCAGGTAAACAAGCCAATCAGTAACGAGACAGTAGGTTTTGGAAAAATAAGTCGTGCCTAATCTCCTTCTCATCACTGACCAGTCTCAACATGTTGTGTGTAGCATATGGGCCTTTGAGGGGCTGAAGTTGTCAATAGGGCAGCCATGTTTAAATGGCACATATCCCCACACTGTGCGAAGAAGCTCCTAGTCCAGGGGAAGATTGATGACAAGGACTTCCTCCAGAGCCAACAGAGAAAGCCTTCCCCTGGAGCAGATGCCCTGAATTTGGGACTGTAGCCTATTAGACTGTGCAAGAATAAATTTCTCTTTGATAAAGCCATCTACTTGTGGTATTTCTGTTACAGCAGCACTAGATGACTAAGACACACAGTGTCTAACCCATAACGCGTATTAGTTTTCTTCTTGATGGCTCCCTTTGGGCTCAAAACCACTATCTAATAGTTACTGTCAGTTGCTTTAGGTTGACATTAATATAGTATAGTGCTTCCTGTGTAAGAATAAAATTTTCTGGGCAGTGTGACTCTGAAAATAAGGATAATTCTATTCTGAAACTTGGAATGGAATGAAATAACACCTTGACTATAAAGTCAATCTTTGGGGGCAGGCCTTTGGTCCTTGTATTCAGATATTATCTAGCATGAGAGCTTATAGAAGAGAACATTAGAAAAGGAAGGATGTTGGAGAGCAATGGACTCTTTTACCACTGTGCTTTGCAGGTTATTGAAGAAAGGGAAAAGCTGAAGAGTGACCGGGAAGTGCGCCAGAAGAAGATGTACTATCTCAGGACTGAACTGGAGCGGCTTCATAAACAACAAGGTACCAGACAGTCCTTTGCATGACTGCCTTTTTGTACTAACTTCAGCAGGAGACCCAAATAGAGAGCTTTTGGGACTCTCATACAGGTCCAGTGACCTGAGTCCTTTGTAAAAACAAAATTTGATAATTAGACCAACAGAAAAGTTGCAATAATAGTGCAAAGAATTCACAGATACCCTTCTCCAAGATTATTAATATTTTATTACATTTACTCTAGCCTGTTTCTCTCTCTCAATTCATATGTGTGTGTGTGTAATTTTTTTTCCTGAACTGTTGAAGAGTAGCTTATAAATATGATACTCTTTTACCCCTAAATACTTCAGTGTGTATTTCCTAACAAGGAGTTCTCTTATATAACCAAAATGTACTTACCAAAATTGGTAGATTGACATTAATACAATGCTGTTATCTAGCCTACAAATCTAATTCATATTTCACCAGTTGTCCCAATAATGATCTTTATAGCAAGAGAAAATCCAAGATTATGTGATACATTCAGTTGTCATGTTCTTTTAGTCTCCTTTAATCTGTAACAGTTCTTGAGTCTTTGTATTTCATGACACTTTCATGATACTTTTTTCTTTTTTTATATATAATTTATTTTTGTTGTTGAGTGTATACACAGCAGAACATACACCAATTCAGCAACTACTACATGTACAATTTAGTGACATTGATTACATTCTTTGAGTTGTGCAACCATTCTCACCCTCCTTTTCTGAGTTGTTCCCGCCTCGTTAATACAAACTCACAGTCCCCTCAGGTTCGTATCTAATCTTTTGAGTTGCTGTTGTCAATTTGATCCCTTATAAAAACCAAAAAAAACAAACCCATTGCTGTCAAGTAGATTCTGACTCATAGTGACTCTACAGGACAGAGTAGAAGTGCCCCATAGGATTTCCCAGGAGTGCCTAGTGGATTCAAACTGCCGACATTCTGGTTAGCAGCTGAACTCTTAACCATTGCACCATCAGGATTTCCTTAAATCCCTTATAGATCTTAAATAGGTACATCTTAAAAGAGCTCAGTGCTCAAGGCATATTCTTTACTAGTTCAGCTAAACTATTGTTTGGTTTTAAGAAGACTTCAGGAGATGTTTTTGGTTTAAGGTTTAAAGATTATCTCAGGGCAATAATTTCAGGGATTCATCCAGCCTTTATGACTCTAGAAAATCTAGATTCCATGAGAATTTGAAATTCTGTTCTGCATTTCCCCCTTGTGATCAAGATTCTTCTATAGACTCTTTGATCAAAATGTTCAGTAATAGTAGCCGGGCACCATCCAGTTCTTCTGGTCTCCTGGCAAAGGAGGCAGTTGTTCATGGAGGCAGTTAGTCACACATTCCATTTCTTCCTCCTATTCCTGAATCTCCTTCTTCCTCTCTTGCTCCAGGCAAATAGAGAACAATTGTTGTAACTTGAATAGCTTCTTGCAAGTTTTTAAGACCCTAGGCCCTGCATAACAAGAACCAGGAGGTAGGACAGAAGCACTAAACACATTGTTAGGCCAATTAACTGGGATATCCCCTGAAATAATAACCCTAAACCTGCAAGCCGGGGAACCAAGTCCCACGAGGTCTTTGGTTGTACATAAGCAGCCTCAGCAGCTACTCTTTTTTTTTTTGTCGTTGTAAACATGACATGGGCATTTTTGAAGAGAGGCCACATATTTTGTAAAATGTCCCTGAATTTTGGTTTTTCTGATATTTCCATATGAGTAAATTCAGGTTGTGTATTTTTGGCAAGAATATCACAGAAGTGATGCTGAATGCATATTAGGTGTTGATTTGTCTCATTGCCGGTGATGTTAACTTTGATCATTTGCTTAAACTGGTATCTGCCAGGTTTCTCCACTGTAAAATTGCTGTTTTACTCGTTTTAATTAATAAGGATCTTGTAAGGGAGATACTTTGAGACTGTGAAAAACATTCAATTACTCCTCAGATTTCCACCCGCCAGTTTTAGTATTCATTGATGATTCTTGCCTGAATCAGTTACTGTTATGATGGTTGTTAAATTGTGATTTTCTAATTTCATCATTCCTTCTACCTTTATAAGTTGGCTTTCTACTGTATGAAAGAGCTCTCCTCCCATTTATTTATATCATTGTGAACTCATGGAGTCTTCATTCGATAGGTTATAATCTTTTGGCTTAGTTATCTAGTGCTGCTATAATAGAAGTGCCACAAGTGGGTGGCTTTAACAAACAGAAATATTTTTTCTCACAGTTTAGGAGGCTAGAAGTCCAAATTCAGGGTGCCAGCTCTAGAGGAAGGCTTTCTGTCTCTGTTGGCTCTGGGGGAAGGTCCTTGTTTCTTTTCAGCTTCTGTTTCTCGGTTCCTTGGGGAATCTCATGTGGCGTGGCATCTGTCATCCCCTGTCTATGCTTTCTAGCTGCTTGCTTAGTCTGCTGTCTTTTAAATTTCCCAAAAGAGATAGATTTAAGACACACCTTACACTAACGCTGACTCATCTACATAACAAAGAAACGCTATTCACAAATGGGATTATAAACACAGGTATAGTAGGATTTACAACACATGTTTTAGGGGGACACAGTTCAGTCTATAACGTCTTTATTCATTTATTTTCCTACTCAAATTGTCCCAGATTTGGCCAGTGGGAGCCCCTTTAAACCGATTCCTATGTCCTTTTGATATGTTCCCATCATTTTTTGAGGACTTCCTTCCTTTTTGGCACAAAAAGTTGTTCCATGATGCCTCACTTTTGATTTTATCTCTTCACTTATGCTTTCAGGAATTCACATACACAATGAGGAAAGAACAGAACGAGGCTTCTATACACTGGAGTTTGGCGATAGTGTGGAAGAACAGAGGGTGGGAGAGGAGTTGCTTTTGGCTGGGTTTGGAAACTTAGTTATTAATCCTGTGAGAATTAATCCATGAGGACATGCAGTTTGGGATAGGAGATAACATTGGGTGAGCCTGAGGCAAAACCTAAAACTCATTGAAGGAGTTGGTGAAGGATCCTTAAATCAGATAAAGTCAAATATGTGATTTCGAATGTTGTTTACACTCTGAAAAAGTCTTTGTACCCTGGATTCTTAGGTACAGCATTTGTTAACCTTTTTGGGGTACATGGCATGCACACAAACTTGCACACACCGTTTTGGGGGTTTATAGGGCCCTGGAAGCCTGTCTATAGATCCCTGGCTAATAATCCCTACACAAAAGATAATGTAATCCATCCTTTACTTCCATAGAAGCTTCACCTAAACCAACCGTGTGGAAGGAGAGTCTTCTTTGCTTTTAGAAACTTTTGCGAGAAAAGATTTTTTAACTATAAAGTCCTGAGAGATTACTACTTGTGACTGAAAAATGACTCGTTCTCTTAACTTTCTTTTCCTTTCTTGCTTTCTCTTGACTACTCAGGAGAAATGCTGCGCAAAAAACGAAGGGAAAAGGATGGCCACAAAGACCCGCTCCTGGTGGAGGTGAGTCGGCTTCAGGATAACATTATGAAGGACATTGCAGAGCTACGACGAGAGGCGGAAGAGGCAGAAAAGAAGCAGTCTGAACTGGACAAGGTGGCTCAGATCTTGGGAATTAACATTTTTGATAAATCCCAGAAGTCTTCAAATGACAGTAAAGAGCCTACAGAGAAGTCTGAAAAAGCAGAAAAAGCTAAGAGCCCAGAAAAAATGTCATCCCCCTCAAGGTCCTCCAACAGCAAGGTAACAACTCAACTTTTTCGTTTCCGTTATTTTATCTTTTATCTCCCATGGCTCTTACAGAAGCTTCCTAACTATTTTCTTAGCTTCCTTTTCCTATCTGTTCTTAATCTTGTTGGAGTTATTTTCTTAAACATGGATCAGATCGTGGTACTCTCTGGAATTGCAGCACTTCCCTGTTGCCCACAAAGTAGAATCTGAAGTCCTCAGCATTCAAGGCCCTCTGTGATCTTGTTCCAGCATTTACTCCTTAACCCACTGCAGTGTGACTTCTGATTTTCTCACAGTTTGTATATATCATTTTGGGGTTCATACTTAGCAACAGGATCATCACCATGCTGCTGATGCCAGTGAATGTATTCGGTTGTCAGACAAGCAAAATTTGACACAGGGAATCAGTCATTCTCTCCTAAAAATGCTTTCTTCTTTGTCCTTCTCTCACACTTCTTTTCCTCCTAGTGTTCTGGCTGCTGCTTGCTTAGTGTCCTTTGCTGCCTATCCTCTTGCTATCTGCTCTTTAAATATTTGAGTTTCTCAGAGCTCAGTCCTACTTCAGAATTCTGCTCTCTCTCCTAGGCCATTTCATACAGTTCTGTGCGCAAATACCATGCCGACAACTTCCAGTTTTATATTCTAGCTCAAATCATCCTGCTAAGATCCAAACCTGAGTGTCCAACTGCCTACTCAGCATTTCCACTTTGTTGTCTCATAGGTACCTTAAAATCAGCATGTCCCAAACTAAACTAATGATTGTGGTCGCCCTCCCTCCAACTTTTTCTTCTTCCAGTGTTACCCTTTATCAATGAATAGTACTGTTATCCATCAGTTTTCATGCCAAAAACCTGAAAAGCATCATCAGTGCTTCCTTCTCCCTAACTTCTCCATACACAATCAGTTACCAAATTCTGCCAGTTCTTCCTCCAAAGTATATTTCAGTTCCATCTCCTTCATCTCCATTGCCATCCAAATCCAACCCATCTTCAATTTTTGACTGTACTACAACACTGTTAATCATTTCTCCACATTATAGAGGGTGATAGTGATATTCCGTTGCCTACCTTTTGAGCCTCATTTCATGCCTCTTTTCCCCCTTGCCCACTATATTTTCTTTATTGGCCTTTTAATTCCTCAAATGCATCATCCCTCTAATGCTTTTGCATCCTTTGTTCCCTCTGCTTACCATACAAACCCTGTTCTTCTTCTCACTAACTCATATTCATCCTTCAGATCTCAGCTTAAATTATTTTCCCAATTCCCTTCCCTGATTACCTGGTTAAATTTACCAGGTAGACACTCATAATATCTTATAATTTTCCTTCTTAACATTTATGACACTTTTAATTATACAGTTACATGTGTAATTATTTTATATCAGTGCCCCCAATTGAATTTTTAAGGTTTAAGGAATCAGGGGCCATATCTGTTTCATGCATCAATATAATCCCCAGTACATAGCTCAGTGCCTGGCATATAATAGTGCTCAAGAAATATTTGATTGACTAATGAACCTGTCTTTCCAGACTCCCTCTCTGCTACATCTTACACTCCCACCACTTCAAAATGCTTATTGTTTTCTAGATGTGCAATATGCTATTATACCTCTCTGATTTTGCATTAGTAATCTTCTTAGCTGGAATAATCTTTCTCCCAGTCCCCCTTTTTCATTAGGGCCCAACTTAAATACTACCTACTTCATGAAGAATTCTTAGAATCTCACCCAGATTTAGTCGGCTCTTATTTAGTACTCCCATAATATATGGTTGTTTCTTTATAAGAGTTATTTCGTTCTGTTTTATCTGGAGTTTGTTCTCATGTCTGTCTCCTTCATTAAATGAGAGCTTCTTGAGGATGAAAGAGTATAACTTATTTATCTTCATGTTTCCCTTGGCATCCAGTATGTCTATCACATAGTAGATGCTTAGTTAATGTTGGGGTTAGGGAAAAGGATATTTGGTATTCTCTATCAACCTGCTCTAATTTCTCCATATCTTCCTGGAAGAGTAGTTCTCTTTCTCAACCAGGTAGGACTGTAATCTTTCATACCTAGGTCAGTGAGTCCAGGACCTTTGATGGAGGAAGAGCTTGAAAGTTTGTCTCTTTGTAGTTGACTTATACACTGTTCAGAGTTTTTCTTATAAACCAACCCCATGATAATTGATCAGCTCAGTTTCGATGAGTCTTCATGTCCTCTGAAGCTAACAAGAATATGTTGCAATCCAGTTTCCATTTTAGCAGTAAGGAATGTTTTGTCTATAATCTCTCTTCTGTCTTTGGTATTTCTTCTTTCTTTAAAAATGCATGATTGGTTTGAGGTTTTCTTTCTCTTTGTGTTCATTTCAGGAAAATAAACACACACATAAAATCCCACAGTTCTATCCCCTAGAGACAACCATTATTAATACTTCGGTGTATATTATTCCAAATTCTTCATTGATTTATTTAACAAATATTTATTGATCACCAAGAAGGTACCAGGCACTGTTACAGATATTTGGAATGTAGCCAGGAACAATATAGACAAAGTCCTTGTTCTCATGAATTAGAAGACAGGCAAAAAAAACAAGTGTATGTTATGTAATGGTAAGTACATAAAAAAAGAAAACAGAATAAGGGATATAGAGTAACTGTATTTGATATAGAGTGGTTAGGGAAGATCTTTTGGATAAGGTGACATTGGACATTTTATGCCCATTTACTTATCTTTATTCACATTAACCATACTTACTCAGTTTGTATGCCAAGCAAATAATCCAAGAAGCTGGAGTATATGAAGAAGAACACAACATCAAGATCGGAGGAAGACTCATTAACAACCTGCAGTATGCAGATGACACAGCCTTGCTTACTGAAAGTGAAGAAGACTTGAAGCATTTACTGATGAAGATCAAAGACTACAGCCTTCAGTATGGATTACATCTCAACATAAAGAAAACAAAAATCCTCACAATTGGACCAATAAGCAACATCATGTGATAAACAGAGAAAATATTGAAGTTGTCAGGGATTTTATTTTACTTGGATCCACAATCAACACCCATGGAAACAGTAGTCAAGAAATCAGACGACTCATTGCATTGGGCAAACTGCTGCAAAAGACCTCTTTGAAATGTTAAAAAGCAAAGATGTCACTTTAAGGACTAAGGTACACCTGATGCAGTCCATGATGTTTTTAATCTCCTCCTATGCATGGAAAAGCTGGACAATGAATAAGGAAGACCGAAGAAGAATTGATGCCTTTGAATTATGGTGTTGGGGAAGAATATTGAATATACCACAGGCTGCCAGAAGAACAAACAAATCTGTCTTGGAAGAAGTACAGCCAGAATGCTCCTTAGAAGAGAGGATGGTGAGACTTTGTCTTATGAGGAACCAGACCCTGGAGAAGGACATCATGCTTGGAAAGGTAGAGGGTCAGCAAAAAAGAAGACCTTCAGTGAGATAGATTGACACAATGGCTGCAACAATGGGCTTAAGCATAACAATGATTGTGAGGATGGCACAGGATTGGGCAGTGTTTCATTTTGTTGTACTTAGGGTCGCTGTGAGTCGGAACTGACTCAACCGCACCTAATGACAACAATTGATATTCAAATATATGACTTCGTTTCTCAGGATCTCATAAATGTCTTTCCCTATCAGTAAATAGGCTTCTATAATATCACTCTTAACAACCTTACTGGGTTTTTTTTTGTTGTTGTATGGATACCAAAATTTATTTAACCTATCAATCACCAGTTGTCTGACATAATAATTTCCTTAGGATAAATGCCAAAGAGTGGAATTTCTGGGTCAGAGGGTATATAGAATTTTAAGGTATGTAATATGTATTCATGTATATGTATATATATACATATATACACACATACTACATATTACACACCTTAAAATTGTATTCTTGGAGCCCTGGTGGTGCAGTGGTTAAGAGCTCAGGCTGCTAACCAAAAGATCGGTAGTTGGAATCCACCAGCTGCTCCTTGGAAACCCTATGGGGCAGTTCTGCTCTGTCCTACAGGGTCACTATGAGTCAGAATCGACTTGACAACAATGGGTTTGGTTTTTCTTTTTTTTAATATGTATTATCAGATTATCGTCTAGAAAGGTGGTGGCTGGTAATACTCCCACCAGCAGTGCATTAACTCGCTCATCCCGTGCCTGCTTGGTGTGATCTTTTCAGTGACTCTTGAATAGGACTCTAGTAGTGAATGATTATCTTTGCTGTCCTAATTGTTTCCCTTTCTCTCTCCTATCTGCTTCTCCGTACCAGCCAGTATTCCAGGTGCCCATTTCCTTCATCTTGTCAACTATAGAGCCCCATTCATACTTACCCTCTCTGTGTTCCCGAACTGTCTTTTTTCTGTGCCTTTCTCATTTCCTAAGTGCCTTTTCCCCAGCTTGCTGACAAATTTATAATAAAGCACTTGTTATATTTGATAACTTAATGTTGGTGAGTTCCTATGTTTTAAAACAAGATTCATGTTAACTCGGTTTTTAAGTACAAATGATGGTATTTTAGGCAGTTAGAAAAATTTTACCCAGATTCCTTTAAGTTATCCCACATAGATGACTTTTATCTATACACAACCCAGTCTCACTCTCCAGTTTTCTTTACAAGGATTCATCAGTGATAAATGAGCTCACTGTTGTCTGTTTTCTGCCTTTGCTTTGTTTAACCTGTCAGTTACCTTTTCCATTTTGGTTTTTCTCCCCTCCCTAGTTGTCATTATGATTTTAAAATTGAACTAATGTATTTAGTTGCATAGGTAACACATTCGATATCTGCCAAAGGGTGTACAGTAAAAAGACTCCTACTCAATCCTGCTCTCCAGTTCCTGTCTCCAGAGGCAGCCAGTATTTCCATAAACTTGAGTGTTTTTCTAAAGATATTTTAGGATATATAAGTAAATATATGGTTTACTTTTCATGATGAGATAGCATTGTGAAATCTAATAAGTTCTATTTGAGCTTTGGAGACAAATTTTCCCCCATTTTCTGCAGCTTTACCAAAACCAAGCCCATTGCCATCGAGTTGATTAAGACTCATAGCAACCCTATAGGACAGAGTAGAACTGCCCCATAGGGTTTCCAAGGCTGTAATCTTTATGGGAGCAGACTGTCCTATCTTTTTCCCACAGAGCCGCTGGTGGGTTTGAACTGCTGACCTTTTGGTTAGCAGCCAAGCACTTAACCACTGCACCACCAGGGCCCCATTCTGCAGCTTTAGGCACTGGAAATATGGCACTCTGTTATTGTGGTGGAGCCCTGGTGGTGCAATGGTTAAGCGTTCGGCTGCTAACCAAAAGGTCGGTGATTCAAATCTACCAGTCGCTCTTTGGAAACCTTATGGGGCAGTTCTACTCTGTCCTATAGGGTTGCTATGAGTCAGAGTTGAGTCAGAATTGAAATTGACTTGACCGCAATGGGTTTGGTTTGGTTTTATTATTGTGGTAATTGGAGCCCTGGTGACTGAGTGGTTAAGGACTTGGTGACTGAGTGGTTAAGGACTTGGCTGCTAACCAAGAGGTCGGCGTTTCGAACCCACCAGCCTCTTCGAGAGAAAGATTTGGTAGTTTGCTCCCATAAAGATTTACAGCCTTGGAAACCCTAGGGGGCAGTTCTGCTCTGTCCTGTAGGATTGCTGTGAGTTGGAATCAACTAAGCAGCAGTCGGTTTGGTTTTTGGTTTATTATTATGGTAGACTATTTGCTTTTTTTTGAAAGAAGACAGATCTAGACTGCCTTGAATTCCTTCTAAGTGCAGGTTTTTCCCCTCTAGGAATCAAAGGTAAATAATGAGAAGTCTTGTGCTAAGAGCCCCAGGCCTGCTGAGAGCCCCCAACCAGATCAGCCCATTACTGCCTATGAGTATTATGATGCTGGCAATCACTGGTGCAAAGACTGCAATTCCATTTGTGGAACCATGTTTGACTTCTTCACCCATATGCACAATAAGAAGCACACACAGGTAGGTGCCCCGCCCTCTGTTATTTCCAGTCTCCTCCTCCTTACCCTCAAACTTCTGTACCTCCGTCTACATCACAAAGCTGGAAAATGAAACATTCTCATATGGGCAGAAGCCCCAATCTGAAGAGCCAAGAGATACCAGCAAAGGAGACACCGTCCCCAGGGCCCTGTCCAGGGGACCTGGCTTGTAGCTAAACACCATGACAAGTGTAAGTGAGGCTTTTGCCTCTTTTGATTTCTTCAGTGCCTGATTTTTTTTTTGTTTCATTTTATTCATTGCCAGTACTTGCTCTAACATATGTTTACCTTTTCCACAGGTGGTTTCTGTTTAAACAGTTGGCACAGTGGGTGGGGGAGGGTAGCTGGGGCTTGTGGTCCCCTGGTCTTATGTCTAGGGGAAAAAGAGAGAAAAGTAGGTTATTGAGGTTTTAGTGCTGTTGTGTGAGCGCATCTGCCTCTTGCAAATAGACACTGGATCCCTACAACAGACCTTGGGCTTCAAAGACCCAGAGTGAGGCCAAGCAAGATGCTGTAAAGCGCACTGACAAGATAACTGTTCCTGCAAAAGGTATGTTTCCTTCCTGCCTCCTTTGTAGCTTCTTTACATTTGCCAAGGAAGAGGTGTCCCTGAACTAAGATGTTAGGGAGCAGCATAGGGTGAGATGTAGTCATTCCTTTTAACAAAGCTGTAAGAATGCCTTCTGTGTATAAAAATAGTATACTAGGTCCTGAAGAAATAAAGGGACCTATCAGATAAGAATAATTTCTACCCATATGGTCAAAAATCTACTAATAGGTGTAAAACATATACATACCGCTCTAAAATATAGTAGAATAACTGGCTTTGTCATTGGTTTATTTATTTGAAATCCAGATTTTCAAAAAAGGACTGTAATTTATTTTAACTACCTTTTCAACTATGAACTATAAAATATTTCGAGTAGTTGCTCTTGGGGGTAAATTGAGAAGTAGAAAGTTCTTTTGCCTTTAAACTTCCCAATTTCTTATCTCCACAAGTAGCCCATGTTGCTACATCCTTTAAATCTGGACAAGATAAATTCCTGAGTAATTAATACCAACATGAGAGATCCTCATACAAATGTTACTGGGCTAACTGTTTGGGAGTAGTTTTTAAACCTCCTAAGATGCTTAGTGCTAGTTGGAGTTTGAGGGGAATCAGAAACAGAAATGGGTCTGGCAGAGGAGACTCCTGAATTAATCAGTCTTCCCAAAAGGTAGAGAGAACAGAGGTTCAGAGTTCAAGCCTTAGATTGGGGAGACTGTGCTATTGAGATTCATCTAAATGCTACCTTTGACTCCAAAGTGGGTAAGGTCCTCTTTTCTATACCATTTTAATGCTAAGGGAGATGGGATTTCTTTTGGTAGCCGTAAATCTAGGTGGAAATGATTTATTTCCTTGACTTTCTTCTGCTACTTCCAGGCTCTGAGTTCCTGATACCCATCACTGGATATTACTGCCAGCTCTGTGAGGAATTTTTTGGGGATCCAATTTCTGGAGAGCAACATGTGAAAGGTCACCAACACAATGAGAAATACAAGGTTCGTCTTTGTAATAGCTTGTGGAGTTCCCCACTTTTTGCAGCAATCCTTTTGACTTTGTCAGATATCTTCTTCAGAGGCAGAAAAAGTTATTGACATTTCTTCTGTATAACTACTAGGAAGTTCTCCACAGTGCTAGTGAGAGCTTCTGAGTTGATAGAACTATCTATATCCTTGAGGAAGATGATTTTAGGGATTTTGTGCTGCTGCTAGACGAATTTTAACAGTGGTGGGGTCAAGATTTTTTTCCTTTGTAATATTTTGACCAGTTGTTTAGCCTTTATCTTTTCTCTTCCCAGAAATATGTGGATGAAAACCCATTATATGAGGAGCGGCGGAATCTGGACCGCCAAGCTGGCTTGGCTGTGGTCCTAGAGACAGAACGGCGACGGCAGAGTGAGCTTAAGCGCAAACTTAGTGAGAAACCAAAGGAGGAGAAGAAAGAAAAAAAGGCAAAGGTCATGAAGGAAGTAAAGGAAGATGACAAGGTCTCTCAGGAATTAGAGAACCAACTCTCTGAGGGTGGGAACTCCCCTGAAAAGGCTGAAAATAAAAGGAAAGCTAGCACCAAACTCCAATTAAAAGAAGAAGTAAAGAAGGAATCACCAGTATCTTCCTCTTTTGGAAAATTCAGCTGGAAGAAGCTAGAAAGAGAGGATGAGAGAAGTTCAGTGGTGGCCCCCAGTATCCCTAAGGAAGACATTGTGGAAAGCATTAAGGACAAAGAAGATGGCAAAGCTGAAGCTGGGAAGGCAAAGCCAATCAAAATCAAGCTCTCTGGGAAAACTGTTGTTGCACATACCAGCCCTTGGATGCCTGTTGTGACAACTTCAACCCTGACTAAGATCCGACCCAACCTGCCTATTCCGTCCACAGTACTCCGCAAGTCAAGTTCAGCCACAGTGAGCAAGCCAGCTCCTCTTAACACCTTTCTATCTATCAAATCCTCTGGAACGACCGCTAAGCCTCTGCCAGTGGTCAGAGAGTCTTCATCTGATATTCTCTTGCCTCCAGACATCATCTCCAAAGCTTTTGGAGGGGAAGAGGTGATTCTAAAAGGGTCTCCAGAGGAAAAAATGGTGCTGGCTGAAAAGAATGAGCCATCCCATATACCTGAGCAAATGCTACCACCTCTTCCACCACCCCCTCCACCACCCCCTCCACCACCCCCAGTTTTACCTCATCCAGCTGCCCCATCTCCTGCTCAAGCAAATGCTGTCTTGGCTCCAGTAAAATCAAACCCAGCTGTGTCTCAGGCTCTCAGCCCTGGCTTTCTGGCTCCTAACATTTTGAACCCGGTATTGCCTGTAGCCATCGTGGCCTCAGCACAGCCAGCTGCCATTCCTTCTGATGAGACTGCTCCTGGGGTGAGTGAGAGCGACCGGGACCAGGCCCTGTTCTCTTTGTTAGTGCGTCCTCCTCCACCACTCTCAAGCGTGTTTAGTGAACAAGCCAAAAAATTGGAGAAGCGAAATTCATGCTTAGCCACGGCCAATGCTAAGGACCTATATGACATATTCTACAGCAGTGGTGGAAAAGGGGCCCCTGAGACTAAGCTGAGCAGTGGTCCATTGGCCAATGGGGAAAATGGCAACCTCTCCAGAGCGGAAAGTTCAAACAACTCTTCCACTTCTACTTTGAACAGCAGTGCATCCCAAGAGCAATTGCCCCAAGATAGAGGTTTAGTCACTGCTCCTTTAGTCAGCAGCCCTGAAAAGCCCATTGCAAAAACTGTGGTGTCCCTAGGGAAATGGTCAGTTGTAGAACACATAGACCAAAAAAGCAGAGACAGCAGCCATGGCTTCCTACAGCCTCTGACAAGGTTGTGCCAAAGCAAGCATTATGAAACTATTACGCCAAAGACAGATACTTTGGCCATGTGGACGTCTAGCTCCTTCCAGAGTGACGCTAATAAGGATATGCCTTCAGAGGGAAAAATCAAGCTGGACTTGGGAGAGCCAGGGCCACCTGGTATAGAGCCAGCCCCTCAGCGGTCAGATACACACTGTCCTACCATGGGATCTCAGAAGTTATTGGCAGTCCACCTCATAGAATCTGGTAACCAGGATGAGGAAAACCAAGAGCTCCACCAGTCTGAGGATTGTAGAGAAGGTGAGGTAGAGACAAACACTGCACTAAAAAAAACAGGAGCAAAGCTCTCTAAGGGGATGGTCGAAGAGGGAGTTGGTATCAACCTTAAGCCCCACAGCATAGAGAATTCTAATTTGAATGATGGAAACAGATACATGTGGGAGGGAGAAGCGGAACAGCCCAAGTTGCTGATGACTGACAGAGAGGCTGAACAGCCCAAGAAATTGATGAAAGGAAGTGAAACTCAAAGTAAAGTAGTGATCGAATTGAGTGCACGGGCTGTCTCTTCCACAAAGGCAAAAAGAGACTCATTTCCATCAGATGTTAGATCTTTACTCCAGAATCCACAAGATAAACCTGTGAAGAATTCTGCCCCAAAATTGCTTCTTCAGTCCTCAGTCAGGTCAGATACGTGTTTAACAGATAGTCCACAGGAGCAAGGAGTTTCAGTTGGTAGTGAAGAATGGCTAGAAAATTCAGCTCCAGAGTCAGCTTCTAAAATTTCTAGGTACAGAAGTCTCAAACTCAAGAGAGAAAGATCAAAAGGCCTTCAGGGTAAAATGATCTATGGACTGGCTGTTTGGGATGAGAACATGAAGAAGCCAGAGACCTGGGGGAACCCAGAAAAACCAGAATCAGAAGCCCTGGAGCTAAGAGGTGTCCATCCAGAATTAACAGTGACGATAGAAAGCAAGACCTCACAAGACTTTGAAACTACAGACTTAAAATTAGAGGAGCTTGCTGCCCTGGGGAATATGGGGGATATCTGTGTTGATTTCTGCAGTACTCAGGTAGAACCAGCACATAGATCCCCAACTGCTGTGTCTCAGAAACTGTGTCAGGAAAATTCTGCATCACTTATAGGATGTAATCCCTCCACTCCTGCTGACTTTGAACCAATCCCATCCTTTCCTGGGTTTCCATTAGATTCTTCAAAACCCTTGGTGCTTAACTTTGGGGCAGAGGGTGAGCAAAACTCATCTAATCCCAGAAATGGGAGGATCACTCCTAACATTTTGAAAACTCGACTGCCTATAGAAAATGTTGACCTTGGTTTGGGGAGCCTAGAGGTAACACACCAGGCCCTTGACCTCTTAGCAGGAGGAAGGTTGCCTGAGGAAGTAGAAGAAACTTCCCAATTAGAGAAACAAGAGTCACTCAGATTGGAATCAGAAACAATTAACTCTTCAGGCCTTGGGCCATCTCCTTGCCTTCCAGACCTTGTTGACTTTGTCACACGGACATCTGGAGTTCAGAAAGACAAGCTGTGTTCTCCTCTCTCCGAGCCAGGTGACCCTCCTGAGTGTAGCTCTCTGGAGATGGGACCACTACAGCTAGAAATACCGAATGCATCTATCACAGAGGTAGCAATTCCTCAAGTAGATGAGGACAATTCAAGGTCCCTTCCAAGGGAGCAGGTAGTTGGAGGTAATCTAGTCCCTCAGCAAATGCCTGCACAAGAAGCTACAGTTGATGCCGTCCAGGAACTCATGGAATCCAGTGTTCACAACTAAAAGAATATATACCCAGAGCTACTTGTGGATGAATCAAATTGGCTTCTAGAAATCAGGTGCCCAGATGACCCAGTGCTATTTGGCTATCTCCTCTGGAAGCTACATGAAGAGATGTCAGCATCTTTCAGCAAATGGCCATGGAAGCTAAAAAGTTTACCTCCTTTCCTTTTATTCCTTTTCCCTTAAAATACCTGACAAATCAATCATAACTACTTCTATACATATCTGTAAAATATTTTCTGTTAATTCTTTTTGACCATTTATTTTCTCCTACTTTGTCATTAAAATCAAATGTCTATCTGACTGTCCGCATAGTGTGCTTTGATTGTATTTTGACTTTGTAATTTCTGGAACGTGGGGGAGGAGGGAGACAGAGCTGACTTCTCCAATTGCTGTGTTGTATTCCCACCCAATTTCCTGGGCAGCTGATGAATCTCTGGGAGAAACACCACATAGCTTTCTGAAATGGAAAACTTCTACTGATGAAGGAAGAATTGTTCATCTCTTAGGCTTCCAGTTTGGATGGGCCTGCCTTAACATTGTTTGAAATGCAGCGTGAGTAGCTCTTTTGTTTACTGTTTACTTCCCTGTGGCATGTCAGCCCCCATACTTCCCTTACTGTGTAGACTTTGCTGGAGACATCCTGCCAACCCACAAACCTGTTTGGAAATGGCCTCAATAAACATGGAAGAAAATCTAGCAGACTCACTTTTGGAAGACAACAAATCGGTAAGGCTTATTCATGACTCAATGCCAGAAGCAGATACACTTTTTGGGTCACTTTTGTTTTTGAAATGGCCTTTAGTTCTTTGTATTGTGATCCAGCAACACTTTGTGGTAAACTGTTTGGCAGCCATTTCTGTTCTGAAGAGGTAGACTATCTGAAACTTGTCTTGGGACCGGACTCATTCTCTGTTTCACAAACGCACATGTATCTCCTCTACCTCTCCCTTTCCCAAGTTATTTCCACCATAGTGTGATGTTTTGGGTTGTACATTTTGTTAAAAAGATTAAAGAATTCGTGTGTTGGCTTGGACAAATTTAACTTTATTTTTAATGTGTTAATTACTTGGAATAAATGCATTAATCTCATGTTTCTTTCTGGATTTTTTGTTTTGAAACTACACACATTTGAACTCTGGAAAACTAGAACAATGAACCCCTGCTGCTGCCCTGTTGTCTCCTCACCCTCACTCCCACCCCGCAGACATTCTTTCTCCATTTGTGAGAGCTACTTCCAGCATGGTTAGAATGTTAAATTATATAGTGTGTGCCCCACTGCTGCCTGGATGGGTAGTGACTGTGCAGTGGTGGTCAGGTATTGGTTGTGAAGCTTTTTACACACCCTTATGCTGGCTTTGCCCAGGAGCCTCTGGAAACTGAGCTCTCCAAGGACACACATGGTCTTGCTGAGGGCCCTCTTGGGAGTCACGAAATTCAGTCCTCAGATTTTCTAATCTCTGTCCCATTTTTTTCTTGACATCCCTGTTGTCAGCAGTTTGTAACGTGGCTCAACAGAGGCTTCAGAGTCCTACTTCCCCACCCACTCCTCAAAAATAATGCAAAGTTGCCGGTTTTTTCCCATAAGACTTCGTATTTCTGTTTTCTTGTCTGCAGAGCTGCAGAATCCCTAGGTTGAGTTTCGGAAGGCTATTTAATTTTTCAAGAGCCTTGACTAATGGCAATTTTGGAGTTCTCCTGTCCTTTCTTCATCATGCTGTGGAAAGGGTGGGGAGAGTTAGATCCTTAAATATGCCTCAGCCGTTCGCCTTGCTGTCATTTTGGATAAGTTACTTTACCATGCCACAGATTTTGTATTTCTTCTGTATGATGAGGATCATTCTTTCCATCCCAGGACTAAATGTGTACAGGGTTAGGCTATCCTGAGTAATCTTCCTAGGTCTGCTTTTTAGGCTGAAGCCTGAGTTCAGTGTACTTTTCTGGCCTGGAAACCAGACTGACTCAGAAGATGCTTATAGAAGAGCTTAAACCCAGGTGAGCTGCAGAGATAATATTTGTTTCTCCAGAGAATACCTCCTTCCCAATCTAGAAGGCTATCTACAGGAATTCAGGGAACATAAGAGTTTAAATTGCCAGTTTGTATTGATTTTCAGGCCTGTTCACTTAGTAAGTACCACTTCCCTTTGGGGAGAGACAGGTGGGTTTAGGGAAAGTGGGAAGGGGTTACCATATCCAGATCCCAGTCCTAACCTCACCCTGTCTCAGTGGGAGTCAGAATCTTACTCTCTAGGTTAGGAGGGGGCCACTTAAAAGGGTTAGGAAAGGAAAGAGCAAATCTAGGAAGGACAAGTAGCTGGGACTGGAGTACTTGGAGCTTTAGCTTTGGTAGCAGCTCCTTTTGTACTCAGCCACTCTCAAATGGTAGTCTCTCTGACACTGTAACTTCAGGCTTTGCACCAAAGACATTTACCAATCTTGGGCTTTTTCTAGAATGATGCCAACTTCTAGAGTTGATAGGAGCCCTGATGGTGTAGTGGTTAAGCACTTGGCTGCTAACCAGCAGGTTGGCAGTTTGAACCCACCAGCTACTCCACAGGAGAAAGATGAGGCAGTCTGTTTCCATAAAGATTACAGCCTTGGAAACCCTGTGGGGCAGTTTTACTCTGTCCTATAGGATTGCAACAAGTCGGAATCGACCCTCAATGGCAACGGGTTCTAGAGTTGAGGAAACCTTATTCGTCATTTCTGCTCTGAACTAGCAGGAGGAGATTTAGGATTCTGTAGTCTGGGCAGGAAGTGTTGCTGCTACTTCCTCTTTGCTCAGTGAAATCTACCTTTGGTGCTCATTCAGAAAAGCCATGTGAGAGAAAGGGCAGAACTAACCTAGGAGCTAGTGCCTAGAGGTAGAGCTTGTTTCTTTTTGTAGAGCCTGTGTCTTTCTTTTTATTCATACTATCACAATACTGAATATATTTTCACATTAAGAGGCAAAGGCACATGCAAGGAGTAGGCCTCAACTTTACATGTGGCTTGTGGTGTCATAAGTATGGTTCAAATTTCTGAAAACATCGGAAGCAAGTTGTCATGGATTGAACTGTGTCCTTCAAAAATATCAACTTGGCTACGTCATGATTCCCAGTATTGTATGATTGTCTTTATCATTTTGTCATCTGATGTGATTTCCCTATTGTAAATCCTGTCACTGTGATGTAATAAGATGGATTAGCGGCAGTATATTGATGAGATCTACAAGATTAGATAGTGTCTTAAGCCAATCTCTTTTGAAATATAAAAGAGAGAAGCAAGCAGAGAGACATGGGGACCTCATACCACCAAGAAAGCAGCACCAGGAGCAGAGCACGTCCTTTGGACTTGAGGTTCCTGCGCAGAGATGCTCCCAGACCAAGGGAGGACTGATGACAAGGACCTTCCTCTAGAGCTGACAGAGAAAGCCTTCCCCTGGAGCCAGTGCCCTGAATTTAGACTTGCAGCCTAAAGGACTGAGAGAGAATAAACCTCTTTGTTAAAGCCATCCACTTGTGGTATATCTGTTACAGCGTCTAGACTAAGACACAAGTTTTATTGAGAATAAATCATCAGTTATGTTTAAATTTGGACAAACACCTAATTTTACCTAAGTTGTATAAATAACCCCATAATATTCCCCTTGGCTTTGTGAATGGAGGTCTTCCTGCTTTATAAGCCATCTTCCTCTTATTCACAGCTAGCTTCAGGACATATAATACTCAATAACCTTTCTGCTAATACTGCTGAGTAATGTAGCATAGTATTCCCACTTCACCCCGTGCCACTCTATCTCTAGAAAATCAAAAAGTTAGCTGAATTTTTGGTAGCAAAGCATATGTTCATTTATTATTAGACTACCAGATTCAGGGACTAAGGAAGAGTTGGAGGGATTTGAGTAAGGATACAGGCATCCCAATAGGGACATTATGTGTATTACTGAAGAAGTTGGGGAGGTTCAGAGAGGATATAGCCTTTAACAGAAGCTAGTGAGGTGGGTTTTTGTTTGTTTTTAATATATTCCTGAACCTTGGTTCTCCACCTTAATAAAGCTTACCTACCAAGCCAGTAGGATGACGAACTAAACACAGTCTAACAATTTATGTGAGAATAGAGACAGATGAAAATAGTTTGGAATTGTGGGCACATTTATTTAGAGTTTAATTTTGTGGTAGTGTTTATGCATTTTTAACTAAAAATTATGTATATAATAGCAGTTTTCACTGGTAAGTCAAGCGATTGAATTATAATGAAAATCTACCCTTAAAGAAAAATCACCACCATCCTCATTAATCTAAACCTATATACACCTTCATAGCACCATGTACTTTTATGTTGTAGCACTTAACGTGGTTGTAATTTTACATTTATGTTTCTTTGATTAATTATGCCTTTCCCCCTCACCCCATCTCAACTAGATTATACACTCTCCAAAGCAGAAGTCTGTCATTGCTTACTATTTTACTATTTTTTTCATCATTGTATGTATAGTGCACAGTTGCCTGACATTAGAAGACATGCAATAAAAATTGGATGAAAGAATCAATGTGGTAGTATTAGCTGTTTTTTTAATTAAGTGATTGTTAATACTTAATTTGCAAGTGGGTAAAAACTGTAAACTAATTATTGTTATTTGCTAGATGTCTTAGTTATCTAGTGCTGCTGTAACAGAAATATCACAAGTGGATGGATGGCTTTAACAAACAGTAATTTATTCTCTGACAGTTTAGGAGGCTAAAAGTCTGAATTCAGGACGCTGGCTCTAGGGGAAGACTTTCTCTTTCTCTTGGCTCTGGAGGAAGGTCCTTGTCTTTTCTGAGCTTCTGCTTCTGGGAAATCTTCATGTGCTTGGCATCTCTCTTCCCCCATCTCTGCTTCCTAGCTTGCTTGTTCAATATCTTTTTTATCTCAGAAGAGATTGACTAAAAAATGTACCCCCTATAGTAATCCTGTGTCATTAACATAACAAAGATAACCCATTCCCAAATGGGAGTATAACCATAGGCATAGAGGTTAGGATTTACAATACATAATTTTGGGGGACACAATTCAATCCATAACATTGAACGCTTTGGCCTCCCAAAATTCATATCCTTGCCACATGCAGAACACATCTACCCCATCACATCATCCCCAAAGTCATAAATCATCTCCAAGTCCAAAATCTCATCTTCTGAATCATCTAAATCAAATATGGGGGAGACTAGGCATTTTCCATTCTAGGGCAAAATTCCTCTTCATCTGTGAACCCGTGAATCTACCCTACAAGTTACCCGTTTCTAAAGTATAATGTTGTAACAGACACAGGGCAGACATTTCCATTACAAATGAGAGAAATTGGAGGGAAAGAAGGGATAACAGGCACCAAGCAGTCCAAAACCCAGCAGAACAATTTACATTTAGCTCTCAAGTCTTGAAAACAATCCTCTGCTTTTTGGGACCATCTTGGCAATGGCCCTGCCCACCAGACTCTGGGTGTTGGCCACGCCCTCGGATTCTGGGTGGAGGCCCCTCAGCCCTGGGTCTCAGCACTGCCTTCCGGGCCCACTGGGATGACAACTCTGCTCCCTCAGTACCAAATTCCGTCTTAGTTATCTAGTGCTGCTGTAACAGAAATACCACAAGTGAATGGCTTTAACAAACAAATTCATTTTCTCACAGTTTAGGAGGCTAGAAGTCTGAATTCAGAGTGCTAGCTTTAGGGGAAGGCTTTCCCTCTCTGTTGGCGCTGAAGGAAAGTCCTTGTCTCTTTTGAGCTTCTGCTCCTGGGCAGTCTTCCTGTGCTTGGCATCTGTTTTACCCCATCTCTGCTTTCTAGCTTACTTGTTTAATGTCTTTTATATCTCAAAAGAGACTGATTTAAGACACACCCTACACTAATCCTGTCTCATTAACATAACAGAAATAACCCACTCCCAGATGGGATTATAACCACAGGCACAGAGGTTAGGGTTTAACAATACACGATTCTGGGGGACACAATTCAGTCTGGAACGCTAGGTGCTTAGAACTCCATAGGCTATCTTATTGCTTCTGTCCTGGGTCATTGTATACAAAGCACTGTCTATAGTCATGAGTGCACATCAAGGCTGCTTGTGGTCCCTTCACTTCAACAGTATTCTGGAATAGTGGTGCCAGGCCAGGAGGGGGACATACTACCCCTACAGCTCCTAGAAGAGAAACTGAGGATGGGGAGGGGGGTAAAGTGACCTTAGAGTTCACAGTAAAAGGCTTTTGGGGCTCCGATCTTTGCACCCTTTCTCTTTCTAACCAGGGTTCACAGGTTGAAGTCAGTCAAACTTCAGATCCCTCTGATTTGGCTAAAGGAATAATCCAATCTTTCATAGCCCAACAGCTTCTTGTCACCATCAAAACTCTAAATCAAGCTGTCATTTTATTTCTGGAAGGAAACAAAAACATTAACCAAAGAAGTTTGTCTTTGGAAGAGGGAGGAAGAATACTTTCACTTTTTTTTTTTTTCTTGTTTTGTTTCAACATTCTGACCATGAAAATGCATTGCATGTGTGTTATATCTCTATCTATCTGTCTGTCTGTCATCTATCTATAATGTTTGTAAGGGTTATCCGGTGCCACAGAATTACAGGCCAATTTTTTCTTTCTGTATACTCTTCTGTATTAAAAAAAATAATGATTTTTTTAAGTTGTGTTTTTTTCCCATTTAGCGCAACTTCTTATCTGTTTTCCATCATTATAACCAGGTCCTGCTGTTTTTTTCCCTCAAGACTCCCTAAATTCCTCTACTCCCATTGAGCCTAGGCAACATATCCTTCTTCAGGAATCTCCTGTCATTCTTCTTCCTCTCTTCCTCTTCCTCTTTTGTTAGTCCTACCTCTTTTGAGCTGGTTGTGTATATTTGTTGATACTGTACAAGCACTTGGACATTATATGAATCAAGATACCTGTCTTCACAAGGCTTACTTTGATTCAGGTACACAAAAGCTATCACAAACTTCGTTGCATACAAAAGGACAGAAGACTACTACTATCTAGATTTAGTAAATTAAACCTTTACAGGCTTTTGTTCCGTTTGTAGAGGATCAGGCAAGAAAGGAGTTTTGTAGAAAATAATGTAAATGGGCATGTTTAAAGCAAATGAGTGAGCAAGGTGAAAATAGAAAGCAGAGTTAACATAATGAGAGAACAAAGGAGAGTGGAGAAAGATAGCAAGGAAATACAAAGATTGAGGTATTATTTACATTCTTCGCCTTTCTGATACTCTGCCCCTGCTAAGGTTCCATCCAGCCTTCCTGTAGTCTACCTGCGTAAGAATGATTATGATGACATTGTTATTGACTCTCACCAACCTGTTTGTCTTTCTTTTCAGGAGCAATTCCAGTCGCCTTCAGATTTCCAAAAGGAAGGACTGCAGCAGACATCTCTACCTCAGGAAGGCCTGGATAGAAGCCACAGAGACCACAGAAATGATGAGCGCCCTTGTGGCCAGTAGGCAGTCACCTAAAGGGTCTGACTTCCAGAAGGTGGGTATAGCTGCTGGGTTAGGGATAGGTTGTGGAGAAGGCCCTGCAGTTTCACTTGCCAGGAGATGATGAGTTGGGTGAGTGAATATGTGTATGTGTGTTTGTATTTTCATACCAATAGGGGAGGAACAAGGTGAGGATGGCATAGACGGTGTCCCTCCTCACCTCATTTAGTATTGAATAAACTGTCACCTAAATATCCATCTTACATTTTATACCATGATACTATGTTAAAGCTGTGGAGTTTGGGTTTTTCCATCCCTTCTGGGCCCTGTGCCCAAATGTCCCTAGCAAGTAGAACATCTCCTATCTCTGTTCCAGCGTCCCTCACAGAATCAGATAAGAATTGGGCATGTCCTTAGAGAAGTGGGATATGAATAGTTAAAGGAGGTTGCAAGAAAGGAGGTATAATCACAAAGAGAATGTCTGAGAAATTCTGGGATATCACCTCATTCAGATTTACTGCTTTTCCTATACACATTGAAACATCAGGCACATAGAAGCAGCAAGCATCCTTTCACAGTACTGTAAACCTTCATCTAAAGTGAGAATAGCGGCACAACTGGAGGAACGTAATCGATGTCACTGAACTGTGCATGTAGAAATGTTTGAAATGGAAAAGGAATGAAAAAGGAAACCCCTTATTCTTGTCCATCTAAATTGCCAGTAGGTGCTTCTTTTGTACTTCGTGATTGTGGACTCGAGAATACAGTGGGGCTGAGAACAAGAACCCCCCAACCCCCCCCAAAAGATTAGCTGACCTTTAAGTTCTTCAGATGCTTAAATTTGTTTAAATCTGAGCTATCCCAGTTCCAGATTTATCCAGAAAACCATTAGCCTAGTTTTGTCTCTTTATTTGTAAATCCAGGCACTTTTAGAATCCTGGAGGTCTAGTTTACTGCCCAAATACAGTTATGGTTTTGGTAATTTGGCGGAATACTCATGATGCTACAGATAGAAAGAACTGCATGATGTACAACGAAAGCCATCAGTAGAAAAGGGATAAGAGGTATTTCAGGGCCTCTTGCTGCTGAGCTTTTATCAGTTGAAGGACTACTCATTCCTAAGGCATGACCCTGTGGATGAAGCAGTAGAAAGCAGTCTGGTGCCAGGGCTGCCAGCACTGTGTCACCACCACTTTCCTTCCTTGCTCCAGCCTAAGATCTGTTTCTCATCAGCCACCACATGCCTCTGCTCAGGGACAATCAAGGGTATTGGTCACAAGCTTTCACTGGTAACCGTGACTTACATTCCCATCTCCAACCCCTGTTTTGCTGCTTGAACCCCCATTCTCCAGTGGTGTGTGAAATACATGACTGACGTGTGCTGATCTGGGGGATGGGCAGGGGGAAGGGGAACATTTTTTTTTCTAATTGTACTTCAGGTGAAGGTTTACAGAACAAATAGTTTCTCATTAAACAATCAGTACACATATTGTTTTATCACATTGGTTAACAACCCCACGACATGTCAACCCTCTCCCTTCTTG